CCATAATCTGTGAGTTCTGTGTGGCCACTGCAGTGAATTATTGAACCCAGGAGAGAGGTGGTGGGTGCTTTGGGAGGAACGGTTGGAGAAAGGGCTGGAGGGAGGCAGCATGTCTGGCCTTTTAGGAATAGGCCTGGGGTTACTGCCAGTAATCCTGTCTTCCTCTTATGGGGTTCTAGGAGGTCAGAACATGTGGCCTCCTTGCCGTTTTTGCAGTGTGATATTAAGAATATTGTTTGATAATTTCCACATTCTGTGGGATCACCTTTCTTTGGAATGGGTACAAATATTAATCTTTTCCAGTCAGTTGGCCAGGTAGTTGTCTTCCAAGTCTCTTGGCATAGCCAAATGAGTGCCTCTACTGCAGCATCCATTTGTTGAAACATCTCAATGAGTATCCTGTCAATTCCTGGACCCTTGTTTTTTGCCACTTCCCTCAGTGCAGCTTTGATGTCTTCCTTCAGTACCATTGATTCTTGATCATATGCCACCTCCCAAAATGGATGAACATCCACCAATTCCTTTTGGTACAGTGACTCTGTGTATTCCTTCCATCTTCTTTTGATGTTTCCTGCATCATTCAATATATTGCCCATAGAATCTTTCAATATTGCAACTTGAGGCTTAAATTTTTTCTTCAGTTCTTTCAGCTTGAGAAATGCCAAGTATATTTTTCCCTTTTGGCCTTCCAACTCCATGTCTTTGCACATTTCATTATAATAATTGACTTTGTCTTGTCAATCTGCTCTTTGAAATCTTCTGTTTAGCTCTTTTATTTTGTCATTTCTTACATTTGCTTTAGCTACTCCCTGTTCAAGGGCAAGTTTCAGAGTCTTCATTTTAGTCTTTTCTTCCTTTTCTGTCTTTTTAATGACCTCTTGCTTTCTCCATGGATGATGTTCTTGAAGTCATCCCACAGTTCCTCTGGTTTTCAGTCATTGGTGTTCAGTGCATCAAATCTATTCTTTAAATGGTCTCCAACTTCAAGAGGGATATAATCAAGGTCATATTTTGACCCTCATGGACTTGTTTTAATTGTCTTCAACTTGAACTTGAACTTGCAAATGAGCAATTGATAGTCAGTTCCACAATCAGCTCCTGGCCTTGTTTTGGCTGAAGATATTGAGCTTCTCCATCACCTCTTGCCACAGATGTAGTCAGTCTGATTCCTGTGCATTCCATCTGGCAAAATCCATGTGGATAGCCGCCAGTTGTGTTGTTGAAAAAAGGTATTTGTTGGTCTTACAGAATTCTATCATGTGCTCTCCAGCATTATTTCTGTCTCCGAGGCCAAATTTTCCAAATACTGGTGATTCTTCTTTGTTTCCAACTTTTGCATTTTGAAAAAGCATTAACAACCTGCAATATGCAGATGACACAACCTTGGTTGCTGAAAGTGAAGATGACTTGAAGCACTTACTGATGAAGAAGATCAAAGAACACAGTTTTCAGCAGAGATTACACTTCAACATAAAACAGAAGTCCTCACAACTGGACCAATAAGCAACATCATGATAAATGGAGAAAAGATTGTAGATGTCTAAGTTTTCATTTTACTTGGATCCACAATCAACACCTACAGAAGCAACTGTCAAGAAATCAGCTGTAGGAGTTCCGGTAAGATGGCGGAATAGGCAGAAAGACTGCACAGACCCTCTTCAACAAAGAAAAGGGGAACCAATTAACACAGATACAGAAGATAATCCTGGACCCCAGAGCCTTGAAGGGAAGGATATAAAAGTGGACTAAACTCCAACTAGCAGGAGAATTTGTATGAAAACACCAAAGAAAGGAGACATATGGAGCTGCGATCTGGCAGCAATTCTGATGGCACAGCCAGCTTGGATATTGCCGAGTGGTGGTAGGACCTAAGAATTA